CTTATTATTTTTCTTCAGTTGAATAACTTATTTATTCCTATAAAGTATAGTCAGTTCAATAAAACCTTTTGCAATTTTATGTCAGATAGAGAGAGGAAAAAAAAGTCAAAACATTTCATTTTGATATTTTTGAAACACTTTTTCCATTTCAATGGGATGGTTCATTTCAAAGTTTATCTAAGCATACTATTTTTTTATTTTTTTTTAAATAAACTCCCCTTCACCCTTTTTCTAAAATGAAACAATTTGTTTCATTTCAGGTTAGGGAAAACATACTAGTCAATCGAAAGTGAGTTTTGTTTCTCAGCAGCATTTAAAAGTACATATCAATATTTTTTCTTGTTGACCCAAAGTGATTTCTTTTAAAGTTTCTCCAACAGAAAAATTATAAATATGATTGTGCTTAAGCATTCACAGTCCCCTTCTCAAAGAAAAACAAATCCAAGGTGTTCCAGCATGCAGATTTAAAGGGAATTTGCCCGTTTGCCTGAGTTTCAACCTCAYGTTTTAAGCTGTAAACTCAGTTAACTGCAGATTAGAACTTACAGAAGTTTCTGTTCTCCACTTTAATAGCATTGAATAAGCCTCAAATTTGAATAGGAAATTGCAATTAATAACATTGGGGAGGAATGAAATTGGAGTCAGCATATTTTTCAGTCATAAAATAAATGAACTTTTTCTGTGTTTGTTATATGCATAATAGAGCAGGAAGCAAAGATCAAAGCCGTGTTTATAAAGAACTTGGCAAGTTACGCACTCAGAGGRAGCAAATGGGTTCACAGGAGAAGCTCAAGAAAGAGGTTTGGATTTTTTCCTGGTGTAAATCAGTATTTTGCCCTTGACATCAGTGCAAGAGCAGTGATTTACCTGAGTGGAGGATCTGGCTCAAGAGCTTCAAGGGAGGACACTTGTGGAGAAACAAAGCATTTGCCTACGGTTCRTGCTTTAGTCCTAAAATACTGGGAATAACTCCCAATCCAAATTCCYAGCTTCATTAGCTATAGGACAGAAAGTCGGGAGTAAGATTTAGAGCAAGCTCCCRTCTGTCTGAGGGGCCCAGGAGACAAGAACTGCGTTGGCGCTGTGTGCAAAAGCCCTAAAGAGATCAAAGAACCTGTCCAAAGAGATCAGCCTTCAAACACTGGCATCTCCAAGCTTATGKGCTCTGCAGGCTACAGAAATCCTCTAAAACAACTGAGCGTGGAAAGGGAAACCAAGGCACAGTCAGCACAGACAAGTCACTAGGGTCTTAGAGCAAGAGAAGCCCTGAGCAGCTCCCTGTCCCAAATCACACCATGCACTTCCATGATGACATAAGGCAAAACCTCCATCAGCAGCAATGGTTTAACCCCTACAGAGAGCTGAAATACACTCACCAAATCCCATCCTGATCAGGACACAGARGCAGCAAGCACAGAAAAGCAGCATGAAAAGACCAGACCTTTCATGGTCAGCCCACCAGCCTAGAGAGACCCGAGCTATCAAGGCATCACTCATCCCTGGGCTGAATTATCCCACCTGAGAACCAGTTCCTAATTGGGTGGTCCCAATTAAGTGCCTAACAGGCCTGGGTTCCTGCTGCATCTAGGRCAGAGAGCTGGAGTGTAGAACGGTCTAAATTATCCCCTTGGCCATGGTGCTCATTTCCATTCTCCTGAGAGGGAGCCTTGGGTTAAGAGGAGCTTTACAAAATCCTAATAAAAAAAAATGCATACTTGGCTAAAACATCATGGGTTATCCAAGCACAACCGCAGAGGCCCCGGCGGGGTCTGGGGACACACCAGTTCCCCCCAGCAGACAGAGCCTCGGCCAATGTAGCAGCCCCCCTACTTTGCGGAGCTCTGCCCTAAGGGCAGCACCTTCCATAGGAGGTTCTTTGAACTTCTCCTTTGCCCCCACCAGTTTCAGCTACATCGCTCCGCAGGGTTAACCCCGTCTCTGGGGAGGACATGCAAGATTTTAGTAACTTGCCCAAGCTTACAGCTGACCCCGCTGTGGCCTGGCCGAGCGAGATGGGGCAGGAGCAGCTGCTCCCCGCTGTGGTCGCCCAGGACCATCCGGCCAGTGCAGATAAGAGCTGGTCCTGCTCCCGCTCCCCGCACGGCGTCAGCATCCCAGGAGGTCAACAGCGACAGGCAAGGCTGGGACCCACCCCAGCCAGACYGAAAGGGACACTTCCTCACCAGACCTGCCTTTCTCCTCCTCCTCATCCCCACAGCACAAAGCAGATCCCTAACCACAGGCTCAGGGGCGATGGAGATTCCCAAATCAGGAGGAAAGCAGARGAAGGGAGACAGGGGCTGCAAAGTTTTTTGGAGATGTCTGTCATAATTACAGCCTGTTTGAGACAACTCTGCTCTCCTCTCCATTCTTAACTCCACTAATTAAATTGTGGAATAAATAATTAATCAAACCAATGACTTTTGCTATTTTATTCAGCTGCTATTTATTTTGAGTGGTTGGGAGAACCTGATTAATAAACATTGAATAAGTTCTAATTAATTCAATCAGTCTCTTGCTGACTTGTTCACCTATCKGTCATCTATCACTTGACTCCAGGCACGAATTGTGTCCAGGTTTGTCCCTGGGAGCAGCTTCCTGGGGGCACAGCCACAGGCAAGGGGATTGGCAAGGAGAATGGAGTTACTTACCGAAAGGCAGGACGAAGAAGAAAGGGAACCAGCAGAGGATGAAAACGCCCACGACAATGGCTAGAGTCTTGGCCGCCTTCTTCTCGCGGGAGAACTTGAGGAGCCGCACAGAGAGGGAGCTCCTGAAGTTGTGCCCCTTGCTCCGGGTGCTGGAGAGAGGCTCCTCCAGCACGCTCCGGCAGTGGATGCGCAGCACCACTTCCATGGATTTATTCCTCTCCTTCTTGACTCCTGCCTCCAAGCTCCGGGTGGTCCGCCTGGCCACCACGTAGATCCTGAAGTACATCACCAGGATGACCATGAGGGGCAGGTAGAAGGAGAAGAGGGAGGAGAAGAGGGCATAACCTGGCTCCTCTGTGATGCTACAGATGCTTTCGTCCGGCGGTGGGGGCTCCTTCCACCCCAGCAATGGTCCAATGGAGATGACCATGGARGAGAGCCAGACCACCACCAGGATGACCCCAGCCTTCCTCTCTGTCATGATGGTGGGGTACTTGAGAGAGTACTTGACGCCGATGTACCTGTCCACGGAGATGATGCACAGGCTCATGATCGAGGCGGAGCAGCAGAGCACGTCCACCGCTGCCCAGATGTTGCAGAAGATGCGCCCGAACACCCAGAACCCCAGCACCTCCAGGGTGGCCGAGAAGGGCAGCACCGTGGTGCTGAGCAGCAGGTCGGCGATGGCCAGGTTCACGATGAAGTAGTTGGTGACCGTCTGCAAGTGCCGGTTGCAAGCCACGGAGAGGATGACCAGGATGTTGCCCACGATGGCCGAGAGGATGAAGGCGGCCAGGAACACCCCGACACCCACCGCCTGCACATCCAAGGCGAAAGTCAGCGTGGTGCCATTGCCCCCGGCGGCCTCCTCGCCGCGCAGCCCCCAGGACCCGTTGGCGCCGCTGTGCCCCGTCCCGTTCCCACTCAAGCTGGCATTGCTCAGCTCGGGGAAAGTCATTGTAGAGCGAGTCCCAGCTCCATGGAGGGCGACGAGGCGGCGGCGGCCAAAGCGATGCCGAGGGGCAGCCCCCCCGGCATGATCCCCGCTGCACCCCCGCGGCCACCCGCTGCTCCCGGGCAAGGAGAGGAGCGGGAAAAAGGGAGGCCCCCCCGCCCGCCGCCCCCTCTCCCCTCTGCCAAGGGGCTTCACATGGGCCGGGGGCTGCGCCGGCGGGGGGCAGGCAGCCCGCGGCCCCCCCGCCGCCCTCGCACGCTCCGGGGGAGGCCGCGAGGGCTCCGTGGCTCCCGGCGCCTTCTCCCCGCTGCAAGGGAGAGCGCCGGGAGGGGAGGGAAGGGGAAGGGAAGGGGGGGCTGTGGGACGGGCTGAGGAGGAGGAGGAGGAGGAGGAGGAGGAGGAGGGACGGGGTTCGCGCTGGGGGAGGCGGGTGTCAAGAAGCTTTCGCGCATCAGGTGCTGCCGGAGCAGGAAAAGGAGGATGAGGAGGAGAGGGAGGGGACGGCGACTTTGCAAGGAGAGGCGAGAAACCCCATGCGGGCAGAGGCGCCACGGGGCAGAGGGGCGGGAATCCTCGTGGAGAGGGGGTTAGACACCCCTCGGGAAGGACGGACACCCCCGGCGGTGGCGGGGAGGCAAGTGGATGCTTGCGGGAGCAGGCGCGGAACCGTGGGAGAGGGAAGCCAGCCGTGGGATCGGGAACCGGCCCGTGGGAGAAGGAACCCACCCGTGGGAGAGGGAGCCCACTCAGGGAATCGGGAACGGGYCCATGGCAGAAGGAACCCACCTATAGGAGAGGGAAACCAAACACGGGAGCAGTCGGCCACTCGTGGGAGCAGGCGACGCCCTCGCGGGCTCGGGACCCCCCCCCGTGGGCTCGGGACCCCCCCGTGGGCTCGGACCGCCCCCCGTGGGCTCGGGCCCCCCGCGGAGCCGCGCGTGGCTGCGCCGCCCGCCGCCGCCGGGGGGCAGCAGAGGGCAGCGTTTGCCCGCGGCGCGGCCGCCCCGACGGCCCCGGCCCCCCCGCCCGGGGGCGAAGATTTATACACTAGAAAAACTTTATTTCCTTATTTTCCTCGACAATCATGTCAGGAAATGACACGATTTTTTTTCTTCTTTAATTTGTTTCTTCTTTAATTTATTTATCTTTTTTTTTTTTTCCTGTCCTGTAGGGATTTCACCCTCCTTCCCAGAACTACATTTTCGACCAAAAATTTGGAAACACGAGGAAACAAGACCAAATTCTGTATGAGGAAAATGATCAGAAGGACTTTTTTTTTTCTTTTTTAACCACCTTTTTACGTGACTTAAAAAAAAAAAAAAAAAAAAAAAAAAAAAACACAAACAAAACTCCAGATCCAAATACCCAATTCTTCAGGTCCAGTTACTCCTTTTCCCTACAATTTGACAGAAACAAGTCAGCCAGCAAAGTGAAGCATTGTTTCGTACTGAGATGCCAAGCCTGTCATGGGACCATCTCGATCCATRGAATTTTGTAGCTGCGTCTTGCAGCTACAGACGTTGCTGCCTAGATAAACCCATCTTGCCTAATCTACCCCAAAATAAAAAGTGGCACACAGAGATATGGGAAGTTATGCAAAATTGTGGCTGGGCTGAACTTTTGGCATAAAATGTGTTTCAAGTTACCTTTGGGGTTTGGAAAAGAGAGGCTCCTCCAGAAGAGGATGTGTTGAACGTCTCAAGGTAAAGCAGGAATAGGTCCTCCCATCAGCTGCACGAGCTCTTATCCCCTCTCATCCAAAGTCACTTTGTCCTCAGTGCTGAGAGCCCCAGACTGCTTGGGAGTGCARGGCTCTGATGGGACACTGGGATCTYGAAGCTCAACCCCACTGCTGTCGGGAAATGCAAAGTGAAGACAGATAAATTCAGTTCTGACCCAAAGCTGCCACTTTGGGGGAAATTTTATCCCTAGACCACCCCACTCCAGGCATTATCGTGCCTGGTGGAAAAGGGATGGAGGATCCCCGTGATGCAGAAGCATGGGATTCTCCCGTCTGTTCTAGCTCTGACCAGGACAGGCGTAGAGACTGTCCCGCTCTGTTACGGCAGCTCTGCAGTCCAACCCGGGGCTATTTCAGCTGATTGGAGCTAAGGAGGAACAGGTTTACATTAGCACCCTTAAAACCAAATAAAATGCTCCATGCAGGTCTGCACAGAGGAACCGAAGGGTCGGCGCAAACATGCACGGATTTGTGAGCGCCGGGACCCTTGCCAAGCTGCTGGGCTGGAGCTGGAAGGAAGCACGGCTCCTTCCCCCCCTTTTTGACATGTTACAGCCCTTTCCTCCCTCTTTTCCGTCCCCTTGCTGGGGGCAGAGTTCATCCCAGGACTCGGAATTTCAGGCAAGAGTAGCTCTCAAAGCAGTGAAAATGGGTTTTTTCTAAGTAAGAGGAAGGCACAGGAAGGACACAAGCTTGTGCCTGTCACCCATTGACTTCACACTGAGCTTGAGCCCCAGCTCCTATTCCCAGCTAACAACAGGTCTTTAAATGCATTTAAAAGAAAAGGGAAAAGGACTGGAAGTGATTGTAAGAGATGAGTCAAACCTGTGCTGCTGGAGGCCCAACTATCCCGTAAAATCAAGCACAACAACCCAAAAAGCCACCCTGAAATTACTGGCTTGTCCATTTGGCATTGCTGCAATGTTATTTTAAGCCAGTAAAAGCCAGGCTGCACTTTAAGTGTTTATGTCTTAATTAATGAGGTGAGGAAGGGAAATAGCTTTTGTTAACTGATTGAGGCAGGTGGAGGGGAAAAAAAATGAGACAACCCTCTTGTCACACCTACCTAAAATTGCCCAGAAATATATTGTATTTTGCCATTCCTGTTGGTTTTCTGCCCTCTTTGGACCATCCCAGCTGCTATTGCATCAATGCTGATACTACATTTGCTATTTTTTTTTTTTTTCATGCATGTAGATGTGTGTGCTTAGCTTTTGCTCTGGTTGGTTTTCAAGCCTTTGCAATCCCTTTGGGGCCACTTGCTGCTCTTCTGAGCAGTCGTTTAGTGTTATGAAGATGCTCTTCCTGGGCCTGGCCATGGGAAATCTCATGTACCTTCTAATACAGCAGAAAGGAGTTAAGGAATGGGCCAGATTTTCTTACATAAGGGGAAAAACTGTGAGTGTCACACTGATATTCATGCAAAAAAGTCAGGTACAGTGGAAGCCCAGGCCAGGCGGATAAGCACAGTTTATGGTTTGTTTCTGTTTGCTTTTTCAGTGGATATGTTGATGTCTTCAAAATGAAGCATTCCTCAGGGATGATTTCTCTTTCCTTTGTTCTTTTAAGAGCCTTATAATGAAATATTTCAATACCAAGCAGAACATTTCAGTTTTTTCATCTCATAATACTCTTCCTTTTTTTTTTTTTTTTTTTTTTTTTTTTTTTTTTTTTTTATTTTTGAAATGATTAGGGCTTAAGATCAGCTACCATTTGCTTCAGAAATTACTAACAGAATTACCTAGTAGAAGAACACTTACGAATGACTCTTTTGAAAAACAGTCACTGATGTATAGAGTGGAAGGAATAATGCTTTAAAATAGGCAAAACTGAATATATAAATGGAAATGCTACAAGAGGTCAAAATCACAATGAGAGGTTTTCCTGTTTCCACAGAAAAACAGCTTTGTTGGTTGTTCTGTTTCTTTTTGAGAAATTTCACATCATCAAAATGTTAGCATATATTTGTCATTGCCTTATTTTTTTCCTAATAGTTCAAAATTCGGAACATTGAATTGGCCAGTAATGTGACACCTCTGAACCGCCTGACTGCATGAAGTTCTGCCTCCTGTGGCTGGCTCCTTCGCTTATAAATAGAAGTTCTCCAAAGCAACTTTTGGAAAACCCAGTTGGTACTTCTTCTGCAAATTGAAATTTCCAGCAACCATGAGATGACCAGAAGACTTGAGGAATCGCTTGTCTCAACAGCTGCTGGTTATAGGAATGCAGGTTCTGGGAGATGGAGGTAAAAATGAAGATGTCAGGAATGTGAGGATGAGGGAGGGTGGGCAGAGGTCCCCACTGTTCTTCTGCAGGACATGAGACCTCAACCCTCCAGCAGGACATCAGCTGTAGCCTTCAGGTTCTGGGCATCAGCTTCATGGATCTGCTTTAGTGACTTGTCAAGGAAAAAGAGTTTGTCCATCACAGGGAAAGAGAGGAGAAACTGGTGAAGCATCATGCTGATATTTGACTATGGTAATGATCTTGACTCCATTAAAACCTAACATAGATTTTATTTTGATTTTGTAAGCCTATGAGCCAAAATCTGACTATTTGCAACTAAAAGATGAAGTATGACTGTTGTTAGCTCTCTCCCCAACCTGGATGTGCTTTTGGCTGTGCCCTAAAACCTTCTGGGAGCTTGGCTTGTGTGCCAAGTGCTATGTAAATTCAACTTGCATTGCCATTTCTCTCAGGAACTTAAATTTGCTTCCTTATGGGAACACTGGGACCTCCCAGGCTTCCACCCTTGAATTTAGCACAAGGAGATGCAAACAAATATAAATATATGGCCTGAAAATTAGCAGCATAGGCTAAAATTAAACACCGCAAACTGAGTGCTTCTCGTCAGCTTTGCCTACAGTTAGAAATAACCAGTGTTACTTTGCCACCTACTTTGCGATAGGAAAAAGATATGGATTCAATGTGTATGTCTTTATATATATATATATATATATATTTCTCTATATAAACTCATCTAAAATGTCAGGCAATAAGTGTTTGGCTCATTTATTTCTGTTGAGTGGGCGCAATGGCAAGTGCAAATCCCATTCCTCCAGGAATCCCATGCTGGGATCCAGGATTGGACTCCAGCATTGCTCTGAGGATGGAAAAAAAGATGCCCATGAAGGAGGAGAAGGAGGTATATTTTAGTGCTTCCAGCTATGTACTATTTACAGCGAGCTAATCAACTTAATTAACAACCAACAGGAATTAATTGCCCAGAATGGCTGGAAGGAGGAGGACTGGAAGGGAATGGGAGTCAAAGAGGTTGCCCTATTACAGAGCCAGGTTTTAAGCAGTGGAAGGCAAGTTTAGACTTGAATGTCCTGCTTCCCTGAAGCACTTGAAAAGTGAAGGGTGTGGGAAAAAATAACCATTGTGTCATTCTTCTTTCTTTTAACACTAGTGGTGAGTAGCTGTGTCCCGTGGATGCTTGTTCCTGTACCCTCTCCCAGCGCAAATAAGCCCTTCTGGCAATAAATCCTGATGCTTTTTCTCCCATTGAAATCAGTGGCTCTATCCTGTTTTAAATCTTTYAAAAAATCTGCCCCAAAGTGCCAATACTGTCTTTCTTTTCTTTCTAACACAAGCAAAATCCTTCATGACAGAGGTCAGCCTTGAAAGGTCTGGGGACATACAGCACAAGCCAGCCCGGGCTTGCTTGTTTACCGAATTCCTCTGCTCCAAAAATGGCTRTTTTGGGAACTCCTGAGCTACCTGGGAGCGAGCAAAGGCTGGCCTGGGCTCAGCAACCTCCGCGTTTCAAAATCTCAGTGACCTTTCTTGGTATGAATCATGAGTAAATAGTGGCTGGGAGAGCTACATCTCTCCTGCGTGCCTCGCTTTTTCCCTGTGTCAAAACATAACACGTCGCAAACCTGTGCTCATCCTTAAAGATAAAGAAATGTAGTTCTGATTCTTCTCTCCTGYGCTGAGGTCATGCATGACCGCGTTCTGATTTAGAGACCAGAGCGAGCTAGCAAAGTCAAAATACATTGCTGTTATCCCTCTAGCATGGAGAGGAACAAGGTCAGAGTAGGTGAGAGTCCTTTAAAATAGATTTTGGTATCTCTTTACTGAATTAACTAGCCTATTTGGATGGCAGCATCCATTTCTTTTTCGTTGTTCCTGAGTGATTCTGTAGTGCTCCATCTTTGCAGCAAGTGAATTCACTCTCTTTTCTTTTGTTAGCAAGCAGAACCAGGGGAGGAAAATGGGCAGGAGCAGACAAAAACATGCCTGGGACATGAGATCATGCTTAGGACACAGAGACTMGCAGTGATCACATGCAGATGCATTACCTGTTAACGCCCAGAACAGTTCACATTCTTAAGGATATAGAGCATATGATGCCCTTGCTGGACTGAAGTGAGATGTCTGGAATCAGACTTCCCCATTGCCTGCTATAAGAGTGTGTCTTCAGAAGGAAAATGATATGGAGTTCTTGATTGTTCTTCATGTTGCTTTCACTCCTGGGAATGATCCTTTTTCAGCAAGTGGACTTCCATGGGGACCACACCAAAGCGCTGTGACTTTACCCATGCCTATGGTGCCTGGGTGCAGCAGATGAGATATTCACTTCATCTCTTCCTCAGCACTGCTCCAAAATGCTTTGAACATCTCTATTGAGTAGAGTTTCTAGCCTTGTATTCCTTATGCCAAAACTTTTCAAGAAGCCACATGTCAATTGTAGATTTTTTTCTTTCTGATCTTGCAGAGTGGAGGCAAGAGATCTGAACCTCAAGTATGGGAACAGATCTCTCTTCCTGCTGGCAGAACTAGTGTCCTCATAACCTTATTCACTGAATGAATCTTTCCAGCTGGGAGCTGTAGCTGGAAGGAGGAGGTTAGTGATAAATTTCAAGAGCATTTTATGAAGGTTGCAGTAGCCCTCTGATAAAGACAAAGAGAAATGTAATAACCTAGATCCTTCTGGAAAGGAAGCAAATCTACATCTTGACACACTTTTAGATTTTCTGAATCACCATAGTCCTATGTGAGATGACCATGGTTTCCTGCCCRTCTGCAACCTTTACAGGATGCAATGGGCTGGGAGAGTTAAACTTCACTCTGAGGATATCTTGGCAGTATTCAGTGTGCAATTATCCACCACTTTTCAAACACTTTTCAGAGTCTTTGCTTTTGAACATCTCACCCGCCCTCCTCCTTTTTCTTTTTCTGAACATTTTCTTGGATATCTAATAGTYTCTATTGTGGTGTCACTGGAAACTGGGAGAGATTTGCTGCCACACCACATGCCAGCAATGTGCCTGGTGTTGAAATAAACATCTTGGAGCATTTTGTAGGGTGTRGAAAGCATGCTTTCTTCTCTCAATTAGTCCATGGGGCTGGCATTCATTACTACTTCTCAGGAGAAATACAAGTCTGACATGCAAGTCAGGAACAAACTCCCTAAAGGCCCTATCCGAATCAATCTTTCTGGTCTTGGCTATTAGGGTTCTTGAAATCTAATGAGTCAATCAGACAGAAGACATGACTCCCAAAGACTCACGGAAATTACTTTGGAGAAGACAATGAATAATCTTCTTGCGTCAGCTAGCTAAAGAGCTAAATCAGGTCAAAGAGGATCGGTCATTATTAAAACTACCATCATTATTTTTAGTAGGGACTAGCATATAAATACAGAGAAGGGAAAAGAAGAAAAATGCATTTCCAGAAAAGTGTATGTTATAAGTAGCTTGACAGCCAGTGGGAGAAAGAGGTGCGGAAGAGAAACCATAGTCTGGAAAGTGATATAGAAAGGATGAAGTGATATAGATATACATATAGAAGTGATATAGTAAGGCCACATTAAAAACCAGTAGAAACTGAAAGCACATTTCTTCACCTCCAGACCAGGAAGGAAACAGGATTTACCCTTTGCTGTGCAGTATTTGGATAAGAAAGCATCCATAAAATCCAGAGAGAGATCCTTGCTGGAAAAATTACTGTGCGAGAATTAGAGGGGGAAACCTGGAACAGTTTGGAAGTTTGCAGCTGCTTCCAGCTTCTGGTTTGGAGCAGTGTCTGATTGCAGACCGGGATGCAGGAGCAAAAAGGAAAGTGCCGTAATCCAATACAGATGTTAAAGCAGTGAGTGAGTCTCCGGTCTCACAGTAGTTCTCTGGCATTCAGGAAATGATTGTGGTTAGAGATCAGTGATTTCTACTGCTCCTCTTTTCCCCAAAATAAAAGATGCAGAAGTTATTTGAAAGCTGAGAGACGATTTAGAGTTTCCCTCCCTCCCCCTGTAAGTTTAAAGCCATGGGAGAAAGTGTGAGAAGCAAATGTTTGTCTTAGGTTGTATTTGTTTGTGCAGAATATAATGGCAAATTGCTGGAGCCAACAAAGACCAGAATTTATTATTCTCACCATCCGAGCTTGTAAATCCAAAAATTCCATGTAATGGGAGGACATTAGCACACCCGAGAAAGGTCAGGAGAGAGAATGAACATAAGCAAAATTATCATGAATGCTTATTGAGTGCTAGGAGAATAATTTGTTGAGAAGAGCTCTTAACACCCATTCCTATTGACTTCAGACTGTCTTTCAACATACAGAGAAATGGCTGCTCACACACAGATCAAGGGGGTCACTGACAAATGAAAGAAAAAAGATTGTTACTGAATGTCATGTTACCCTTTGAATTTGACACAAGCTTTGACCTCTACATGAATGTAAAGGTTTAAGAGCCTTAGCTCTTAAAAGACCAGGAATACTAAGTACAGTGAGACAGGCAGTATGAAGCTGCAAATCCGTGTCTGTAATGTCTGTATATTCACCCCATTGCTCCCCGCTTGACTTCTCATTTGGCACGCACTCCATGGCCAGGACAGTGTACAGTTGCTTATCTCCTCTGTTATCTTTCTTAGGCAACTGCTTATTGCTGCTCTTGGAGAAAGGACTATGTTTTTCCTGTCTAGAAAGGTCACTCTTCAAGTTCCTACTCTGGAAGGGGTAAATGAGGCACCAGCAGATATGCTAACCTTTTCCCCAAAACATTTTCCAGGAAAACAGAAATGAGAAATAAGTGTTGAGAAACCCAACATGCAACAGCTTGCCCCAGGCAGCAGGAGACAGACCAGACTTAGGCCAGAACTCTGGTCTCCTGAGCTTCCAGTAGACTTCATCTTCTTTGCATATTGTTGGTACAATGAGATTTAAAACATATGAAATTAATAAAGAAGGGAGCTGATGGCACAAGTTAGGGTAAAATAAAATATTTCTGTTCATAGTCYTTTGTAATTGTTTTTGAGTCCATGTTTGGGTCTTGCCTAAGTCTTTAAAAGAGTTAACTAGCTGTATTTAGATTTAAGATAGAATCCCCTTGACTTCATGGAGATAAAACTGAACTTTTTGTTTTTACAACATGTTTGTAGAGGCAAAACTGAATTTGGTGAGAATACCCGATACATTCAGGCTTTGGTCATCAGCTGCAGAGATTTGGTTTTATTTTGCTTCAGCTGCAGAGATTTGATTTTGTTTTATTTCACATTACATACTGAAATATAGTGAGCACTTGGGGTTGTGATAGATACTTCTAAAAATATCTCTCTATGATTTCAATAAAACAGCCTAATGCTCAAAGAGTAAAACAGAAAAGCACCTCAGATCTTAGGAATGGGAAAGAAAGCAGAGAACACTGCATAAGAACTTGAATATTTGGGTTTTCCCACACTTAGAATGCTGTGGGGAAGTTAAGCATTCTTATATAAAAAGAGTTACAGGACAACTGCAAAAAACAGTTTGCAAAGCCATCTAGCCATGTGGAATGGTTTCCATAGGAAGTTTGGCTGAGCAGGTTAGGTCTTCTCAGTCTGGAACAGAGATAGTTAAAGGTG